ATAAATGCAGTTTCCTGATGAAGAAACTTATATTTTCAGGTAAACATTTTTCACAGAACAGATTCCTATGTTGATTAAAATCTCTGTCAAAATTAGGGATCGGGTAGTCAGGTCCTGTTACTTTGCCGATTGCGTGTCACTGCACTTGGACGTCGTAAGACTTTGATTATGCAAAGAAGGTATAAGACGCCGTTCCCAGACGAATCTATTATGTGTATGGCACCAGGATATAGTTCGAATGTTGCCAATTGCTGCCTAGTCAATGAAAACACAAACAGTAAAATTGATCTGATTTCATTCATTCATTCATTCATTCATTCATTCATTCATTCATTCATTCATTCATTCATTCAACGACAAGAAAATCTTCATTAACCACCATTACCCTTAATCATTTACCTTCAAAAGTGCAAATTCGGGCGTATAACAAAAAAATGTGCATTGAAAATCTACTAAAAATGTACTGGCATAAAAAATTCAGAAACAACAAATACAGAACCCACCTTGCTAAAACACGTCAAACCATAATACACAAACTGCCATGTGTATATATATTTGGAATCAATTAAAACACAAATGATTACATGCAACTGAATTGTTAAGGCAATAGAAACTAAAAACTAACTCATGTGGTAATTATTCAGGTGTGAAACTGGAAAGTAAAGTTGAGAAATGTACAATTCAAACGCCTTCCATACATCAATATGACGCGTATCACATGACATTTAAAATCTTATCAACTCGGTTATCGTTGTATACCCATCCAGAATAATAGTGAGTGAGTGAGTGAGTATGGTTTTACGCCGCTGTTAGCAATATTCCAGCAATATCACGGCGGGGGACACCAGAAATGGGCTTCACACATTGTATCCATGTCGGGAATCGAACCCGGGTTTTCCGCGTGACGAGCGAACGCTTTAACCACTAGGCTACCCGACCGCCCCTCCAGAATAATAGGTTCACCATACGATGGATTATTGGTTGAATAAATAAGAGCACTCTTTTGAGTTGCATATGCGTACATTATGCTGCTTGTTAAAATCTTGTATATCGCATTAGTGTAATTACTACATATTTTTGTTTGGTTCAAATACAAGTCTAAAGACAAAATGATCAAAATGAAAACGTTCGAATCCATGATCATCGGATGCTGGTTTCCCTAAGGGGCGTAACTCTTGACTGCGAATTACGGAACCATAGACAACTGCACCCATATCTCCCTCCATATCATATATTACAGCAATTGATAATCTTACAGACACTAAGAACGACCACCATTGTATTCACGTATAGATATAAACTGCCGGACAAAGAAAGTATACACTTTAAAAGGGATTTTGACAAACGTCATCAAAACGTTAATAAGCTGAAAACAGTCGCCGAAAAACTGCAAAACTTAGGTCTAAATCACCACTGCGATTCCCCTATGAAATACATCACCGTCGAATAATCATTGTTTGTTAGTTTCAATTTTAGCAACAATAAAAAATGTGTGTACGCTTTCTTTTGCCCGAATTTTTAGATCTCTTGACAAATTCTTAAGAAGAATACATGCAAGGGTTTATAGGAAAGACGTCTCTGTTTATCCCCTGACTTTTGTAGAGTGAGTGAGAGAGTGAGTGAGTTTGGTTTTACGCCGCTTTTAGCAATATTCCAGCAATATCACGGCGGGGGACACCAGAAATGGCCTTCACTCATGTGAGGAATGGAACCCGTGTCTTCGGCGTGACGAGCGTGAGTTCTTTCATCCTATCAAGTGATGGTAGTGTGTTTCACCATGATCAACAGTAGGTGGCAAAGAGGTCTAATCAAGAGAGATATCAAAAACAGGTGGGGCGGTGGGGTAGCCTAGTTGTAAAAGCGTTCGCTCGTCACGCCGAAGACCCGGGTTCGATTCCCGAAATGGGTACAATGTGTAAAGCCCATTTCTGGTGTCCCCAGCCGTGATATTGCTGGAATATTGCTAAAAGCGGCGTAAAACTATACTCAATCACTCAAAAACAGGTTATTTTATTAAGAACGCGAGAATTATTGTCTCAACATGTGTATTCGTTAAGAACAGGACATCTGTCAGTCTGAGTCGTCTAATTGAATTAGTTTGCTGTTAATTAGAGCTATTCTACTGTGAGATGTAATTGATTACATGTAAGTCATCATGTATGAAGAATTGGAACATATATAAAGCTTTACATTTAAACACATCACAACAGTTGAATTTCTCAGCTTCAAGGACAATGAAGACTTTTTTCGCATTTGTTGTCGCTGTTGTAGCAAGCCAGGGTGAGTGTTTTAAATGGCCATGCCTTCTTACTATCCACTTCTCAGTAGATACGATGGTCGTGGCTAAGGCGCAGCAATATGATATTTACAAATATCCAATTATATGCATTACTTCTTTTTCTGATGTGTTCGAATCTAAACATATTTACATAAATCATTTTTTGACTAAAGTTGACGCGTTGACGTTTTATATTTACATATTTTCAGCTATGACCCTTTCAATACAGGATGGAAATGATGAGTGCGCTGATTGCATCGCTTTCATTACTGATCGCCAGGAGATGGAACTCGAATCGATTGTACGTAAATAATACTGACTGTTTCCCATGATGGTTCGTAAAAATCGTGTTATTTCTTAATGTCCACACTTACATATACGTACATGTTTAGAACATTATCTTTTTAATTATACACGATGGTTTATACCCCTACCCTGAATATAATAAATAAAGTAATGGAACCTGTCAACCAAGTGTTCCTTTTTGGAATCTACATCTGAATTTTCCAATTTCCCAAAATAAATGGCATCTGTCCAGGAATAATAATGTACTGAACCCTACTTTCATATATTTATCACTATTCTATCTGCTACGAATGAATCTATTACTACATGATTGTCCATATATTTAAAGATACGTCTACCCCTGAAAGTAAGGATGTAAACATGTCACAAATACACTCATGTCTCTTCTCCAGATCTAATGTACTGAGGTTTTTATATAACATGTGTTTCAGGAGGAACAGGAAGCAAATATGAACAACGTCTGTTCTTCAATGGAACCCAGCAAGGTGGAAGAGGTGAGATAAATAATAGTTCTCAATAGTAAACAAACGGATTTCATAAACAACAAGATCAAATGTTTTATTGCAAAGAGCATTGTATTGAATATATCACACATCCGATAATTGAGGTAATTATATTGATTTTCCTTGGCAAGCGACTATCATTGTTCATCACCATTAAGCGCTCTAGTACTGCCTGTATATCCTTGTTGAGAATGTATGTTTTATACAGGATATGGTATTAACAAGGTAGATAATTAAAAAGGAGCAATGGTCTATATTCATTGCAAACTGTGTTGATCCTTAACGCTGTAAATTAGATAACCTAGTATTCTCGATGCTCACATTGTGAAAACGCGTATTTGCAGTGTAAGACAAAATTGCAGAAAATATGCCTGGAGAAGAAAGACAAAGTCAACAGTCAGGTAACTGTTAACTTCCACATCATCAGAAATCCTGCTCCAATCAATGGACTAATCATGAAGCACAAGATTTCGTCAGCTTACATTTGGATATACTGTCATCATGAAAAAGGTGATTGATGCAAAAAGTTCAGGAATGTACCAATCAGATGGAATTTGGATACCTGGGAAATGAGATGGATACCTCTTTTTCAGCATTTTAGCTTACATTTCCTTTATCAGAATAATAACCTCTATCCTGTTTTCACTGAGTTACACAAAACGCTGAGAACTGAACTATATTTTCCCCTTTAACTATATAATTATTATTGTACACTGCGAGTAAGCAATTCACAGCTGCAGACCCCTAAAGCCATCTGTAAAACCACCAAGAACTGTCCGTCGCTTGATACCATCAACATGAACACACCTACAAACAAGGCAAGATTAATACCTAGTCCACTAGTCAACAGGTTTAGTGAGTATAACTCATCAAACTTACACACAATCAAATGAATGTCTTAACGTGTACATTATTTGTACAATGTACTTGGTTAGAAAGGGGAGGTCTCCATTCGTCACACTTATTGTGCTGCAATATTATTGTTACATTGGTTACAAACGAAAGTTTAAAACTTGTAGGCATAATGATGCATACAATTTGTCATTTCATGTTTCCGTAGGTTCAAGGGAGAGGGCGATGCAAGGACTGCCAAAACTTTCTAAAAGATATCAAAGAAAAGAAAATGGACAATGTTGTGAGTGACAAATATTAAGAAGGTTTAATCACTCCAATGTTGGTCTGACATATTTGCATTATTTCCCAAACTAAATAAACATGTACCATTTTGTTTTAAATTAAATTAACAAATCGAACACGTTGATGTAATGCAGTCATAAAATCATGACTACGTGTCGTTAAAAAACTTTTCTTTTACAGGCCTCTGTAAATAAACTGATCGAAACCATGTTCTGTGGAAAGCTCAGCGAGGGCTGCCAGGAACTGGTGTGTATATAGTTATCCAATCGTTGTTCAGTTTTCCGTTTTTGGTATAAATTCAGTAGTTCTTTCCTTATTGTAGTTTTTGTTTGTTATTTAAAGCCGCACTCCGCAATTTTCTAGCTATTTTACGGCAGTCTGTAAATAATCGAGTCTGAACTAGACAATCCATAGGATTGATACCATGGATATCGGATACAATGCACCTGCACCATCCAAGTCAGCTCGCCTGACCATCTGATCCCGTTAGTCGCCTCTCATATAATGTTACAGTTAATTTCATAATCAGTCATTATGTATATTCTTATATCAATGATTCAGCTCAGTTTTCTTTGTTTCTTCGCGTGTTACCAGTTGTGAGAGACATTGCCGTTTTTCTTATGTTAGAAGTCTCACAGGGCTTGGAAACGCCAACAACAATACCGAGTACAAGTGTTGCTAACTGGTGACTCATGTGACCATGACGTGTGTGGCTCGAGTCCATATAAAGCGACAATGCAGTGTGCATATTCTTTTGGAAAACCTCATCTCTCACCATGGCTAGCCGTAAGAATACAATGAAATCGTTCAGTCCTTTGTCCATTCGTTCTTCCAAGAAGCATGAGGAATTGAAAATCGTTGTCTTGGGAGGAGAAGGAGTCGGTAAGAGCACCCTTATATCCAAGTTTCTTGGTGATCAGTTTCTTGAAAAATACAAAGGCACCTTTGAGACCATATACTCTCGACCATTTGAAGACAGAGGTGTGCGAGTCAATTTGGAAATTGTAGATATCACGAAAGGCGATTCTGTCCCCTCTGTGAGACAAATGGCCATTGAGAATGGAGATGCTTTCATCTTGCTGTATTCTGTAGTCGATAAAGACTCATTTGAGGAGCTGTACAAGCTCAGGGATCTGATTCTGGAGCTGAAAGGGGAGCAGAAAGTTCCCTTATTTATTGTCGCCAATAAGGTGGACATAGATGCGGAAAGGAAGACTCCCATATGGCAAGTTGCTGATGCTGTGGCCACCATTGACTGGGAACACATGTACATGGAACTATCAGCGGCAGACAAGGAGCAGGTTGATCGGCTATTTCGTCAGCTTTTCAGACAAGCATGCATTGTGTACAAGGACAGGTTTGGTCAGCCGTCCCGAAGGATGACCTTTCCAGGAACTATACTGACCAATCTCAAGCGAAGGATGTCACATAAGTAGCGGGGTGAGTCGGTTGGGTTTTGCGCCGCTTTGAACATTATTCCCGCTATATCACGGCGTATCACCTTAATGTTGGAGGACAGTGATGCATGTCTCAGAGGTTCAATACTTTCGTGAAACCCACCAGCACGGGTATGGTGCTGACAAAGCTGGAAACATAAGCGGGATTCCGACCCACGATCATGGGTTTCACCGAACTCGCTTGAACTTTATGACATGATCTTGATAGATATTAGTTCCTTTTCCTTAATCGCAATAGGCATGTTCGATTGCATCACGAAAATTATGAAATGTAGACACCAAAGTCTTAATGGCATAATGTTCATAGATATTAGTTCCTTTGCATTTGCGTTTTAGTATACGTGACGAGTTAAATGGGCATAAGTGTTTAAGTTAATTATTTCAACTCAAACGGTTGAATTCTTTTTATAAACGTCTGTTAATTTCAGCAATATCGACATTTATTGACTGTGTGTTTGTTTGTGCTTGGACAGAACGTTCACGATCGTGGAGTTACAATTTCTTCTTATTGTTGTCGTGGTTATGAATTCCAACGGTGAACTGTGAATATTGTGAACGATGTTTCCTCGTAGTGTGAAGGTACGTTGACGTCGTTGTAGAAACAGTGACTGTGTTAATTGTCTCACTGCCACTAATGTGAACTTCTTATTATTAGTGTGAACATAATATGTAATTCTGTACAAGAAGAATACACGTTGAAAAAGTATGTACTTCGTTTGTTCGTTATTCAGTCGAATGTCGCATAAGATCAAAGCATGGCTTGATTTACTTACGTTGTTTAACCCTGCACACATATTAGCCAATATTCCATAATCGATTCAGGGCCAGACAACCGGTGATCATATACTGTGAGCCACGGGGTACGTTGACATACTATCAACCAAGTCACCAGGCTTGACCATCTGATCCAATGAGTGAGTGAGTGAGTGAGTGAGTGAGTGAGTGAGTGAGTGAGAGTGAGTGAGTGAGTGAGTGAGTGAGTGAGTGAGTGAGTGAGTGAGTATGGTTTTACGCCGCTTTTAGCAATATTCCAGGAATATCACGGCGGGGGACACCAGAAATGGGCTTCACACATTGTACCCATGTCGGGAAGCGAACCCGGGTCTTCGGCGTGACGAGCGAACGCTTTAACCACAAGGCTACCCGACCGCCCCCTTGATCCAATGAACAAGCATAGGTTCCTGGGAGCCTGTTTTACCCGAAATCCCCAAGGGGTTCAAACCTGGACTACACAATTATTGTGGCGATGATGAGAATGTCTTCCTCAGCCTAGTCAGTATGACATACGATACTTTCAACCTCAAGTCCATTAACCTCTATTGTGCAAGGTCGGTGGTTCGATCCTCGGCCACGTCACACCAAAAGATGGTACGTGTTGTGAACCTGTCTGGAACTCGGCATTAAAGGTATAAAACAAGAACTGATCGGCTTGGCCTCAGAATAGTATGTCCGATTTATTGTTTTGGTGCCTGAAAAAACAACAATAAATGCTCGAAAGCTCAAAGTCTGGTTTGAATTCTAGATTATTTAACGCTTGTTTGAGAGATGAAAAGCTCGAACAACCTTTGAGTGAGATTTATATGACCCTTTTTCAAATCTTCGCAACAGGCATGCTCGATTGTACAAAGGGTGGAGCTAATCAAATATTGGTCGACATTTAAAGGGAAAGCTGACAATTGGAAAGTTGACGTCATCCCTCTTGCCATACTGCCCATCTTCCCGAGGCAAGGGCGTTAAATGTCTATAAAAGTCGAACTAGGCTGAAAGTTCCTGGCTCGATCGTAGCGCCACAAGTAGGCTAAAACCAGCAGTGGCTACTACGAGCTATGCCCCTTCTAAATATATACCAATATCATTCCAGAAGAATTTTAAGAATTCCACAGTAAGCCCATTCGGTCCCGGACTTTTCCCATTTTTAAACATTTAACTGCTTCAAGGTCCAAATCATAATTCAGTTCGCTTTCAATTTTGTGAGACAACTCACTAGACAGATTTGGAACTTAAAATGTACCAAGTAGGATTTCCAACTGAATACTTGACACGTCCTGTTTAGGGTAGAGTCAACCATTTAACTTTCCTCAAAATATCCTCCTGTTGGTCTATTTAAAATGACCCAGGCAAACCCGTGACTCAAAGTATAGGTGATCCACTCCATCAGGAAATGATGTGTCACAATCAGCCAAGACCCGGAGTCTGACTATCTATTAAAGTCTTCTAACAAGCATATGTTAATTTGGTCTAATTCTACCCTGGAATCCCCAAATGAACGTTTTGTCCCAGTTTGTGACCTTGAACTCTTTGGTTTATGAAATTTCACGTGTTTATATTTCAAATGCAAGCCAGTTTCCTTTCAATCATACCAGTCATATTAACTCAAAATATTTATCTGAATTATCTTGAAACCTGTATCATACAATCCAGATGTGGCATCACCAACCTGGTATCCCCTATGAGTATAATCACAGAGCTGCAGATAGGCTGCGTATCGGCATAAAATATGCAGACTAAATCACCATAACCCAATTAATGTTGAGTTGCTTGGGTACAAATAAGTATGAAGAAATTTGATTACCCAATAGTATTACAAAACTCACCTTCCCGAGGCAAGGCAGTTAACTGTAAAATACTCTAAAAGTCCACTTCCCACCCTTGCCGAACTAAGCTGGAATTATGGAGTTACATTTTGGCTGGACTAAAGAGTCCATGCATACAGTCTAATCAAAATCGCGTGACGAACTAGACATCCGGTTCGCAAACATGGATTTCAACGTGCATATATCGGCCGACTGCAGGGTTTGCAGAGCATGTGTGCCGTCAACTGGGCGTCGACAGATATTTGCAAATTTTTTCATGTTTTTAATCAAGGTGCTTACATGATTGTGATGCACTTCGCGAGGTAAGACCCGTTTTATTACAATATAGATCTTGATTTTCGATCAGATCGTCTTGACGTTTCTTATCGACTGAATACAGCCGCAAGCTTCATACAGACATGGAACACTAAATTCTAGGACTTTACAAGGCTTTCCACTGTCATTTTCAAGGCTTTGGGGCTTTTGTCAGTGAATAGTTTTTTTTAAGTCCAGCATACCAGTGAGTGAGTGAGTTGGGTTTAACGCCGCTTTTAACAATATTCCAGTTATATCGCGGCGTGTCAGCTTAATGTGGGAGGAAAGCTCGAAGTGATGCAGGTCTCAGACGTTTACCAATTTGGTGAAACCCACGAGCACGGGTATGGTGATGACAAACCTAGAAACATAATCGGGGCGAACCGGGATTCGAACCCACAATCATAGGTTTCTGGCGTGCCAAAGGGACGCAACTCTGCCTTAGACGACTGGGCCACCCGTGCCCCCTCCAGCATACCATATTTTTGTCGTCAGATCTAAGAAGCAGTGGTAATAACACAAATTTTCCAAGAAGACTTATTTCCTCAACTGACAAATAAAATAACTTAAGTCTGTCATATACTTTATCAACAAGTACGTCATTTCAATTTCAAGGCAAACCAGAATTTGAACCAACGATCATGGTTTTCTAGGGTGCCCAAGGGACGTAACTCTGCACAGCGAAAGGCAGCGCCTTCTAGGCTAATCAGGATTTGTTTCATAAGGTGATCCTTCAGACGGTCATAAACCATGTCGTATGGGTTAGGTCGTAGCGCTATGAAGGTTTTGTGAAATGGCACCCTTGTCTTCCCCATTCAATCACTATTCATCCTCAGCGCCCATTATGTTCACCCGATCCCAATTTGAGTCCCCACATAGACAACACCGCGCCCGACACCTTCCTGGAATCCCCACAAAGTTACATCAATGTCTTTAATACACCCCACAGGAATTCTAATCATGCAAATATCATCAAACTTTGTCCTGTTTCAGAATGGTTTCAAAATTTTAAAAAGTTTGTAAAAGGTTCTTGGGATATTTGCTTATCTTTACATGCATTGAAGTATGTATCATGTCAAATGCACTAAAGAATTACAAACATTAAACGGATTGTACATGTTTTATTATGGTCCATTGTTTTAAATACAAAAGCAAATACAATGACCATCATCATCAGTGTTCTTGAATATGTAAGACAAATTTGTGTGAAAAATGCCCTGAAACCAATGATACAAATTTGCTCCAAAATCATTGTTTTATTATGTTATTGATTTGAGAGTTACGAATGTGCAACATATTCATGCATGTGCATAGAAAATAGTACCTATACTACTGAAAAGAAGTTAAGAACTTCTTTTGTATAGTATATAATGACAACGCAACCATGGCGATAGAATTACCAACTCTGTACTAGTACATGTGTATTGTTAGACAGATGGGACGCATTGCAAAGTGCCAATTGCTTGCAAGCGATGTACAGCGATTCGCCTTACAACGGTGCGCTAACTTTCAGCTACTTGCAAGTGCAACAATCGCTGCCTGAGGTCACTTCGTTCTCAATCCAAAATGGCGGCTAAGTTTGACAGCAGAATAAGAAATCTTTCACTGGATCAACTGGGACATTGGCAAAGGCAGCTAACATCCCACCATCCTCAGTCTGCTCCACATCTACAAAGTAGTCATAAATGCATCAGCTAGTCATCGAGCCTCTTCTGTGTACGTTCTTCATTTGGGCAAGGCAACCAAGCCGTAGTTGCGCCACCATTTTGGAAGAGTGCGCAAGTGCTTCGAGCTGTTACAGACCCCAGGTGAACGATTAATTTGTTTACTCTAAGCGATCCCTGGCTTGCAACCGCCCATGGTGTCTTTAAAATGTTTTACACATGGGCTATAAACACAATATACTTAGTCAACAAAAAGTCAAATTAAGGTACAGGATGTATTTCTGTCTTTATTTGAATTGAAAAATATTGTGGCATATGGAGCCTCCAAGTTATCACCACGCATGGTCATTATGAGTAAAGGGGTACCACAAACCTGTTTAATAATTATTTCCCGACTCACTCTAAAGCATGCTCAGAGCATTACATTATTACACCAGTCAATGGATCGGTGTGCACTGGATTTTCATTCTCAGCTCCCTAGGGAGTATGCGAAACATTATCATTTCATCCTACTTGGTACCCATTCACTGATGGGTTAACCATTCAGATTCAATTCATACCGATTAACAAAATACTAGATTAATGAATCATCACATGATCATGGGCACAGATTAATGTTCTGTTCAGACATTACAAGAGGTAATCATCAAGGAATCTGAACTTTCTGGTCTTTTATTAATGAGGTTTCACAGTACTCTGAGAGAATACAGTTAACCTCTACTCATACTCATGAAGCATCAATAACCATGCTAACTGCATGCTAGACACAGGCTGATCATTACACCAGAGTAAGGAATGACCTATGAAACAGCATACTGGAGGCAAGTATAGTCATCAAAGCTGCTATACAAGTTCACATGTGATTTAAGGAAATCGTTGATATCAAGTACCATTTTATGTAATGAAGTATGATGAGTGAGTTGGGTTTTAAGCCGCTTTTAACAGTATTCTAGTCATATCACGGCTTGTCAGCTTAAAGTGGGATGAAAGCCCGAAGTGATGCAGGTCTCAGACATTTACCACATGATTATGCTTATTATCATGATTCCCATTTCTGGTTTCCCCCGCCTTGATACTGCTTAAAGCGGCCAATCACTATCACCCTGATTACTGTAAATCATGAAATTAATGCATCTCCAAAAGAATGCGAACGCTGGCCCCTGGCCAAAAATGCGACTCAATATGAATGCGACACCTCCGTCCTCTCAAGCATCAGTGGATATGTTATCTAAAGAAAATTTCCTTTGTGAGGTTTACAGGAGAATCCTCACCTTAATCCAACCTTACATTAATCCAATCACACACCAAATAAAACTGCTTATTAGCGCTGAGTAGAGTACTTTTGCTAAAACAATACATGCGCGCTGGCTCGTGACGCAGTCGCAAAGAACAAAGACACCGTGTTGCGTGGGTGGCGTCTGTCTGGACTTGCAGGTGTGATCAGTGATGACATCAGTGAGTAGAACTCTTGTCTTGACCCCAGCAGTGACAATTCACAGGATGTAAATAGTGTTTGAATGACATTGTTTATATACTTGTTACAAGTGCTGCTCAATAAACAGTGATGTGGAATACAAAGTTGTTTGTTTTCAGCATATGTCTAAGTTGGTATTTCTGCTTTCCAAAATGTCTTATTGTTGATATAAATGCGATGTTTAAAAATGCAAGCCAAGACCACTCACATTTTTCACGCTCGCGTTAATTTCAAGATTTAAAGTACTCATTTCCACTGAGACTAAAACAGCGAACAAAATGTGATCATAAGGTCTTTGACCTACACATTTTGTATTCAAGAACATGCACCAAGTGCTGGAAGTCGGTTAGACTTTTACTTGGTTTTAGTGTTTTTATTGAAAAGAATGTTGCAATTCTATGCTCTGGAACAAATGCTGCCTTTGTTGAACACACATTTCTCTTATGTTCTGTAATTTAGAATCGTGTGAAGCTCAAATTAAAAAATTATTCAATAGTTACAGTCTGTGCCACACCTTTTGAGTTTACTTGACTTAACTTTACTCTTAGCATCCTTTTCAGTAAGATTTAGCATTATCATGATTATCAGTGATTATGATATGGATAATAAATAGCTGAACTTATTTTACTTGACAAGGGCTTCAGATTTGTGGCTAAGGTCTCAATCATAAATGACACAACCCAAATGGTCATGTTGAGCGTGTTGAAGCTGTGAAAATGTACTGTTTACAGTTCAAGTCGGGGGAACAAAAGGATAAAAAACCTTCTGCATGATTACATAACCGTACACTGGGCCATACTCATATAAATATATCGGCAAAGTAATTACAATCACAACTAACTTTTACATTCAAATATGATTCTCTTGCACTTGCATAACAATTAAATGTAGTCTTAAACTGCATATATAAATATTGCATTATCATTTTGCATGTTCTGATAGGAATGAAACAATATTTTAATTTGACCTTGACCCACCTATTACCTGCCTAACCTATGTCCTGAACCCATTCCCCCACGCCCTTGACCTCCCCCACGCCCTTGACCTCCTCCCCCACCTTGACCTCCCCCACCACCTTGACCTCTGCCTCCCCCAAATGCACCAAATCCGGGAATACCATTACCAGTGCTCATCTTGGCTACAAAAAACAACACAGCACCAAATAGTAGTCCTTTAACCCCAAGCAGAAGACCAGCCAGACAGAATCCCACTGACACAATAGGCTCCACTGTCACCTGGCCCACATTGAACCGCGGAATTCCTGCTGCTAGAAGTCTTTGGTTTAAGGAGTCAAATATTGAAACTTGCTGTCCATACATTCCCTGCTGAGCATCTTCATTATCATGACGAACATAGCCCTGAGAACGGAGAACAAGATGAATATTATACATAAAGTCTTGTGATAACATGTTTCAGTAACTTCAAAATCAAACAGAGCGTTGATTATTATAAAGAGAATCTGGACCGAGTGTCTTTTGATATCAAATATATCAACAAGTGTTGATATATTTGATATCAAAAGAAACGAGGGTGATATTTTATTTATCATCCAACATCATTCTTCCAACTTTTTCAGTTTGTAGACAGTAATAAGCAGCGTCTTAAGTGTAAAAGGTTCTGCCAACAGCTTCAGTAGCAGAGCTGTTAGTGAGTGAGTGAGTGAGTTGGGTTTAACGCCGCTTTTAACAGTATTCCAGTTATATCGCGGCATGTCAGCTTAATGTGGGAGGAAAGCCCGTAGTGATGCAGGTATTAGACGTTTACCACTTCGGTGAAACCCATGAGCACGGGTATGGTGCCGACAAACCTAGAAACATAATCGGGGCGAACCGGGATTCGAACCCACAATCATAGGTTTCTGGCATGCCCAAGGGACGTAACTTTGCACAGCTATTCGCGGCACTTAGACGACTGGGCCACCCGTGCCCCCCAGAGCTATTAGTGATGTCATTTGATTGTGACGTCATGCTAACCAATGACGTCACAATGGTCTGCAAAGCATTGTGATGCAATTTCATTGCAGCAGTATCTACAATGTAGATATCGCTTGATCTCACCCAAGCAATATCTCCGATGGGAGCCAGACTCTTTCTGCTAGCCTGCACCATATCATTTTCTGTATTTTCTAGCCGAGCTATGCTTCAAACTTGCAAAATGTTCCATCCTATACTACTCATGATGCGCTACTGAAATCCAAAAATAGTTTTTCCGGTAAAGTGCAGTACTCCAATCCAATTTTATCCAATTCTAGTTATTTTACACACACTAAAGTCACCTGAACCTGGTTAGATACGATGAATAATGTGTTCACTTCACATGTTGAATTCCAGTATCATGTTTTGTTTGTTTGTTGTTTAACGCCACATTCAGCAATATTCCAGCTGGATTTCTATATGACAACGCTCTGTAAATAATCAAGTCTGGCCAAGACAATCCAGAGTTTGACATCATGAGCATTGATCCACATGTTTGGGATACAATGATAAGCATCAACCAAGTCAGCGAGTCTGACCACACGATGGCGTCAGTCGCCTTTTACGGCAACATTGGTTGCTGAAGACCTATTCTACCCTGGATCTCTAGGGTTCCAGTATCATGTAACCTATGCCAATCCGTATCTCAGCTGCATACCTGTCTTGGCTGAGGTCTTGAGGAATTCCCTCCCCTGCTCGATGCTTGACTTGCTCTGGGGTCGTCATCAGGGACAATATCACCATTACTCAAAATGCGAACCATGCTTGTGACGTTAAGATATTACACGATTCTCCTTCGTCAGTCTCGAGATTGCCTGAACATTTAGATTTCCAAGCAAAGTGTCGATAAACTTTACTTGAGCAGGTTCTCTCCCTGTTCAGTGGATAGCATTAAAACAAAATCTGTCAATTAGTTAACAGACATAACATTGTTTTGAGAGCATGTAACGATGCATAGCCTGACACGTCAGGAGTGATTGAACAACGTCGCCATTTTACAGGAAGTGGCACGATTCATTTCCTACTTCCGGTAATCAAAGCGGGGTTGGCTAAAATCAGGAAAATCGAGATTGAGCCACACAGCGACTGTTTCAAGCTCAATCAGATGCATGCTGTGGCTGCATGCTAAAGTATTTCGAGAATTTCTGAAACAGTAAGCCATGGTCAGCAAAAACAATTTATTAGTAGTACGATATAAGGATGTCATGAAACAGTATTCACCACTAAGACCTTGTGTTTATTATGTTTGTTTGTTGTTTACGCCGCACTCAGCAATATTCCAGCTTTTTGACGGCGGTCTGTAAATAACCGTTTCTGGACCAGACAATCCAGTGATTAAATTCATAAGCATCGATCCACGCATGAGATACGATGATATGCATCAACCAAGTCAGCGAGCCTGACCACCTGATCGCCTCTAACGACAAGCATAGTCTCCTTTTATGGCAAGAAAACCTATTCTACCCCGGATCTTCAAGGGTCTTATATTTTTAAGTCGGACCAATACTGGCGTCATAACGGCTCACATAACAGTATAAACGGTACTGAAACAATTATACAGGCCCAAAATATATGTATGGTATCGATACTGGTATATAACTTATACTAACTCTATCAAAATTGGATAGTTACATTGATACTAAATGCCACTTAAACATTATCGGGTTCGGATTGTAGCTGAAACGTCACCTTAGCCGGATCATTTTCATGCTGCGCCACTGCGATTTTATGACGGCACTCGATGAGATAAATATCCCTACATATCCCATTTCTTATTTTGAAACGTATCAATTTACCCGCCGCACGGTTCAAACAAAGGGAACTCCAAAATTATGAAATTGGTCATTTTACGCGACGTAACTATTTAATACTGAAGTTAACGCCATTGTTGACGTCATGTGTAATAGTGTAACAGTCAATCCTGACGTAACAATATATCGCCGGAGACGTCATGAGTAATGACGTCACAGTCAATGATAACGTAACAATCTGTCATTGTGGATGTCATTATGGACACTTATCGCATTATTAAAGAGGACGCCTTGAGTGTGAATATTTTAGAACAAAATGTCTATTAGAGGACCTATTACAATTTAAACTCGCGTTTCTCATATTGCTTTCTCTAAGTTGTATAATAATTGATATACTAGTTTTTCTTACACTCACATTGTGAATCAAAACGTAATTCACAAAGTGATATCCCTTAAGTACAATTTAAGTCGCTCAAACAATAATGAAACCCACAAAACTAACTTTACAACTCCTTGTATCTTTTACTGTAAATCGAAAACGCTGTCTTTGTTAGTTTATATTTATTAGACCGTTTTGTCTTCGTCAGTTATGTGTCGTTTTGGCAGTGTGCCGCGTTGACCGGAGTCTACAGTCGGCATATCGATGAGCTTTCGAGCACCGCAAAGCACAATGTGGTCCGGTCCGGTTTATTTCCCGTCCCAGAGGGCATCTGTGGAGCAAGTGGTTGTACAGGTACGAACTAGCTGGGTTATCAGTGGTATTCACCACGCCTCTCTACGGCTTTGACACAATTTAGTCATTACGCAAATATCGAGACTGTTTCAAAACTCACTTTGTTTACAGGGACTGAATTTGGTAAGTAGAAAATAACACCTCAACGTCACCAGCAACGTGACATGACAATCCACTTCCTAATTTGAACATGGCATTGTCGGCTCTTAATCGACAGTCCAGAGCTTATACTATTATAGCTATTTATGAGAATATGGCTACATCAGACTAAAACACTCTTGTTTCTTGACAATATTTCGAATTATGACCGAACACGATCATATCTGACTGATGCTGTCTGATATCCATAATATCAGGTCCTGAATATTGTGTCTTGCATGACCTGGTTTGCTAGTGTTTGCGTTGGTCGGGTCAATTAGTACTACAATTGGCACGTTTCACAAACATTTGAAAGAACCAGCAAAATACTGAGATAGGGTCAATAAAAATCTGGCGTTATGGGTATACTGCGAAACGGAAATGAATTGTGTGATACCACCTCGTTTAGAATAGGTTGGTTGGTTAGTTTGTTGTTTTACGCCACACACAGCAATATTCCAGCTATATGACAGCATTTTGTAAATAATTGAGTCTGGATCAGACAGTCCAGTGATTGACATAGGATCAGTCCATATATTCACACGCACACAGCATGAGCATGCGATATTACTATGGAGATAATATATATATACTGGCTAGCGACCAGTTGTCCCCAAGGACCTATTATCGTTAACTCCCAGTTATAGTGGGCACATGATTTTCATTTTACTTTTGCTCGTTTTCATTAGAAGAGAGAAATATTTATCCAAAAATGATGAACAAAATGGACTCTTGTGAGGAAATATTTTTTTTAAAAACCCACCATAACCACCTTTGCTGAAATACAACATTAGAAAAGACGCGTGGGTGGTGTCATGACTAATTCACGCAAAAATATAATTCAAACAACACGATGATTAAGTTCTGACATTGCTTTCTATCTGTCTGTCATTTCTTCCACAAAATAGAACTCTGAAAACCTATTTGAGGTATATTTAAAATAATTCATAACCTGTATATATCGCAAAGTCCATAATCATGATAATACATTGTGTTAATGATAAACCTGTGTAGATCAAATTTCGGGAATGTTGGTTTTTGTCAGTTTGCAGACGACAAAGTGATAATAGCAATTCTTATTTTGATGAATAAAACGATTGAGTGCAATACACAAGATACTATAACTGTAATGTGTATAACTGAAGCAGTGCATATGGTCACATGCTGTTAAAGGGGCACTGATCTAAAGCAATTCCCCAGGACTGGATGTTGACTTTGTTATTGTTGTTTCCCGTGAGTACCCGGATGATATAGCAGAAACCTAGACTAGTTCGCGACCTGTGCTGTGCAATTCGTAAGCGCATTTGTCACTTTTATTGATAGTATAAGGGCGTATGGTCACATCTATCAACAAAATGAAATACAGTTTTGGAAATAATAAGGAAATGTAGGTATCTTTGTGGGTAGCATCGGTAATGGTGACGAACTTTTGATAAGTCACTTGCTTGGTAATTGTGAGATTTTCGTTTACACTATTTTGACTTGCAACACAAAATAAATATTTCTCCTGAGCATTGCTAATTTTATCGTGTTTATATTTTTTACAGTCAAAATGTGCAAATTGTTCACTTAGGAAATTTATTAAAAGCCTGAATATTCAGTAATTTTACAAATTGACTGGAAAATATGTCCGTCTGTATAATTATGATAACAAATTCCAAACATTTTTATGTTTAATATCATCACCAAGAGACTGAAAATGTTACGATGAAAAGTACATTTCTATATTGTTTAACTTCTAATCCTACATAATAATCTATTGTGATGTTTATAGGCCCTTTTGATTGTCTTTATCAGTTTTAGTCAATCAGTTAAAGAAATGGACAGATTTTTCAGTCAAAATGACTGAAATATTTACACATTATATAAATTGCCTGATAGAATCACATTTTACAAATTGACTGTAATATATACACGCTTTCAAAGGAAAGGACTTGTGAAAACAACTTCTATCGTGCATCGAAGAATTTCCCAACCAAGACGTAGAGGAACAGGAATGAATCTGTCCAATGCTACAGCAAATGAAGGAAAACAAAATGAAATATCATAATTACAACCTACACGTCTGCAGCTGTACAAAGAAACTTATTGATGTCACGTGTCTCTGTAACAATCAAATATTTTAAAAAGTATATATCATTTTGGGGATATGTTAACCCGTGTTCGTGGGTCCTACTATTTAACGTCCAGGGGCGTCCGGGAGGTTTCATCAGACGTCCGGAAACGTCCGGGAGGTTTCATCAGACGTCCGGGAGTTTAAAAATACAGTGCAGTCAAAAAAACATGTCTTTCTCAGTTTGGTAAGATCGTGAGAATATCAACTGGCGTACGTGTTTGCCATGTGCAGCTTCCAGAAACTTCCGGTGACTGGTACTTCCATTTTCTGGCAGCTGCACCTGGCAAACACGTACGCCAGTTGATATTCCCACGATCTTACCAAACTGAGAAAGACATGTTTTACTGACTGTATTTTTAAACTCCCAGACGTCTGATGAAACCTCCCGGACGTTTCCAGACGTCTGATGAAACCTCCCAGAAGCTCCCCGACGTTGCCCGGACGCTATAGTACCAAATGTTTTACACTCAGTGAACCATTTTGGGGCCACGCATGAACTTTTGAAAACGTCTGTGTTTCAGTATTAGTGATGGAATAGTATACACAATATGACACTATAAAAGAACATTATTTTTGTTCCATAAGCAAATTTACATTGTATCCTTCAAAGCCTATGTTACGAATAACTCGTCAGTTCGAATAAAATCAAATCGTATTTGCTTCACAGATTCACCATTTAAAAAGAATAGGTGTGTATGTAATTTTTTTCCAGCTATATGTTATTTTGTATAATTAATACAAGAACACAATTATATAGAATACACTTTATTATTTAGTATCATTCTCCCGGACGCTCCCTGGCATTGCCCGGACACTCCCAGACGTTTCCTGACGCCCCCGGGCGTTATTTAGTAGGACTGGTGTTCGTTTCTCAACTGATCACTTAGATTGTTTCAGGTGTTTCACATAGGTGTCATTTCTCAAAGGTCGGCTGAGATAGCCGACGTGACAACTATTTTCATAACGTCCACGGTTCCTAAATAAAATCCATTGAGTTAGATAACAATGAGCAATCAGTCAATATATTATAGGTTAACCCTTTGAACAAAATATGTTGTTTTTACATCGGCACTTCACGCCATGATATGAGTGTATTCCCTTTGTTTTAGTAAACCTAGACATGTAAACACTCACTTTTGACATATCCACTGTGCAAGGTAACAATCAATGTATTTTCTGTTAATCCTTTGATGACTAGGAACAATCCGTTGATTTACAAAAAAAGTAATCAACTGATCTTTCATCTCTTGCTGGGCTGCCACATGCATATTACATAACACACATTTCACCTCACTTCAAACCTCGATTTAGATTGAATAATTACCCTAAATGCCAAATGGGGAACCTTTGTCAGGTATTCTGAGCGGTGCTACCACTAATTATACCTGTAATAAATTCCTTAACTGAGCATCAAGCGATTGACGACAAATACACACAAATGTAGGGTTATACCAAAGACGTATATACGTCCGTGGTTATACGAGAAAACGTGGATGACAACAGAGTAGTAATCGTATTATCGACACAATCCGAAATCCGAAAATGCTTTCACTGCATGGATACGCTTTTATTATTAAACTATAACAATCATATAACTATTTCCAAATGACAACATCCGATGAACTTCTTTTTGTCTGTTTGTTTAGGCTGAAGAAATTAATTAACATGCGCCCTTTGTCGAAATCTTTATAGATCACGGTTAACCAATCAGTGTTCAAAAATGAGTAAAACAATTATTGCCTCCAAGTTTATTCAGCTGTCCTTGTAGCCCAGTCTCTTTTGCGTTGCGTATCATCCGGGTACTCACGGGGAAAAAAACAGTAACAAAGGCAACCACCAGTCCCGGGGAGTTGCTGCAGATCAGTGCCCCTTTAAGATGATGGTGGTAACTGGATCAGAAAGTCGACGGGAAAGTTCTAGTTCCACGGTTTTGAATCCCTACCGTAGCATTATAACAGAAATCAACTGAATCTTATTCCACGGAAAGAACTAAGTGCATTTGCTCATAGTTTCACAAAATAAAAAGTTATTGGTACAGTCAACTTAGTACACTGAATAAATCAGAAATAACATGAAAAAATGGATACTGTACTAGAACAGATGTAATCTTCAGGTTTCGCTTCTGTTTCAATCAAGAATGCTATAAGTGTATTGCCTGGCACCCGGCAGATATTTATGAGGAGGAGCTGTGCTCAAGTTAATGTCTCTTCGAAATGTCCAAGTGTTTTCTGTAATCAACATAATAACTTCCACACACATTTGGGGCCATGGGGTATCCTAGTGGTTAAAGTGTTCGCTTGTCCGCTGAAGGCCAAGTTTTGATTTCCCACATGGGTACGATGTGTGAAGCCAATTTGTTGTGTCCCCTGGTGTGATATTGTTGGGATATTGCTAAAAGCATTGTAAACCCAACTGACTAACTTCTCACTGAGGTAGAATAGGTCTTCAGCAACCCATGCTTGCCGTAAAAGGCGACTATGCTTGTCGTAAAAGGCGACTATTGATGTTCATGATGTAAATCACTGGATTGTCTGGTCTAGACTTGATTATTTACAGACCGCTGTCATGTAGCTGGAATATTGCTGAGTGCGGCGTAAAACAACAAACCAAACCAAACCAAAACTTCTCACCACAGGAACTTGTTATTGGTCAGTAAATTATACCCCCTGCATATAGGAGTTATATATGTGTTTATTTACTGACCAATAACGAGTTATATAGGGGGTATATGTTTTTATTTGCTGACCAATAATGGGTTATATAGAGGGTATATAATTTTATTTACTGACCACTGACGAGTTCTTGTAGTTCACACACATTAACATGATTTTAAGTCTACTTTTCAGGATACTTATGTCCTACAGATATT